CTTAGACACGTGCTCCCTTGTCAGCAATGCCAACAGTATATAGACTATTTGTCTAATAGCTACGCCTTTCTTTGCTACGAGGTTTTGCTTATCCGTTTATTTGTTTTCAATACTCATATTCATATGGATAGGTCCTTGCTCTTGTCGTTTTACTATCTTCAGTATGTTTACGTAGCCTGCTTTTGTCTGCGGATTTGGATAGTGGACGACCTAGGATGCGGTACTGCATCCCCAATTACTTTTGTTGGAGGAATTGGATTAGTACATTTAATATTGTAGTTAAGGACGATATACGCCACCGTCATCCTTAACATTAAAGCCGTAAACTAGCGGCCAGGACTGTGTGTTGCGTTGTTAGCGAATGAAGTTCATGAAGACGAGCTAAATAGTGGTGGCGAAGACGGACTGGGAATTTTGGCCGTATCCTGGGGTAAGATACATAGTACTAGGCTCTGTAGCATCGAATTTATCTCATATGACGTGACTCTCGCGGTTTTCATAGTTGAAAGATATTTGACGAAGCGAAAAGGCTCAAACACATTGGCGTTGGCATTGTATTTCTCGTCGCCATGAATTCCGAGCACAGGTACTCCAACCCAATCACCCTTAGGCATGCTAGTGCAATCAGGAAATTGGAAGCCAAACGAGGGCATGACTCCTTTCATGGGTCCTTCGATCGTGATAGGGTTCAACCTCAAATTCTATCAAACTACGATATTCGCCAGGACCTATCTTATGAAGCCCAACACGTTATCCCATAGTAGAGGGTTGATTATACATGTAGCTGTCATATGGCTTAGATAATTGGGACTAGCTGAAATCATTTACGAATAGATGCACGCTCATAGATTAGATAGTGTCGCGCTCAAAAACGACGCCGTTGATGCGCGCAGCGCTCAACGGCTATATATACGACCCACTGTAGTGTGACAGATAGCTGTTGACCCAGAAGGTTATTGGACGCATGAAGTCACGAGTGCAAAGACATCAAGGGCTAAGGGGTAAGGTCAGGGGACGCCTAATAGGAGGAAACGAAATATAAATATCCCGATTGTATGAAAACCGGATGAGTATAAATCGATCTTGGATCTCCTCGATAGGGGATGAAAGAGAACCTAGGGCCATTGAGGCCCTGAGAGAATTATTAGCTACATATGCTTGATTCCAAGCCATATTATATCTCCCCTTGTCACAGTTCATAGAAAAGAAGCCTAGGCAAATGCTAAAGATGGTGCGAGTAAAGAATAGTAATTAATATGAATATCGTCGCTAGTTTTGTATTCCTACGCCACCCAATCCTTAATAAAGTTGAGATGTGGCAAAGAAAGTCAGCAGCAAAAAGCTACGAGTATCACAAATCTGACTAGCAGACCCGATCGGCGGCGATGGCGTCGATTATTGCAGATTATTGTGCCACCCCGCGCAAGATATTCGGTAGAAATGGAAATCACTATGGGAAAGCCGGCACCGATGGCTGCCGGAATAGCCTCGCCCATCTTCCCCGCCCGCCTTCGTTTCGTTTCGCCTTCGGTATTGCCACCCGCTAGGGGAACTTGGCCATTGTATAAAGGGCCGGAAGCTGAAGCCTCGTACATAATATTGTAATTTCATGGATATCTTCCGGCAAGTTTTGCACGGGTATGACACCGACTGCTGTTCTCGTGTAGCTGTTTATGCGTTGCTGTGCCGTCACTCTATTTGACTATCACATCGAGGGCAACTAAGCCAACCACCCCTCAAACCACCCGCTTGACTTCATCTATACCCTCTAAATTATAAACCAGCTTGCACTTAATATGGAACTTTTGTTCCACTCGTAAAAGCTACCCCTTTTCTTTTGGCGGTCTCTTCGGGGAATGGTAGTCACGCTTGTGCCTCAGACTAGGAATCTTCAGGTCTCAACTAGTATTAGACACAAGCGAAACCAATGATATCCCATTCTAAATAGAAGACACATGGAACAAAACAACATAGACTCACACTAAGAAGAGGATTAGGTTAACATTCTCGACGCTTTCTTCCGTTAAGAACCCGATGCTGTTGCCGCAGCTTTGTAAGACTATGGAACGAAAGGGACTGGCCCAATGAGTACCAGTAATGTGATTACCATAGCCCACTTCCGCTCCCTGAGTTCCACACCGAAGATGGACGCAAGAAGCTCCATCAGCAGCTGGGTGCTCTAGATCCCAACTCAGATGCATCTCGCTCTCCACCGACTACTCAGGCCATCCCCACCGCCTACGAGGCTTTTGTGCGCTCCATGCTCACAAATCCCTTAGGGGAAACGGGTAACTCCGTTGTCGGCACAGCGTATACGCCTTTCGATGTCCTTAGCCCAGCCTATCGTGCTCCTGGTAAACTCGTCTCGGTTGTAATCGAGCTATCGCGCCATGTCTCCCGAGGCTCTGTGAATATCTCTGTACCTACATATCACTAGTGCCACGCCAGAATACGGCAGCACTAATGAAGGCGTGATTATTGCCTGTTGGTATTTATCCCGCCTGCTACAATTTGAGGTACTCGCACGCCAGGTGGGCTTCACAGAGGACAGTCATTAGCCGCGCGGAGCCGATCACACGATACCTGAAGCTATATACTGGAGTGGTGGTGGTAGGCAAGGAGCAAGGGACAATTCAGCCACCTTATGGCTGAATAGGGGCTTTTCGGGAGGGTCAATATAGCGAAAATGGGCTTAAGTGCTCGTCTTGTGAAGAAGCCTCATCAAGGAATTAGGGTCACGCCTGTCCAGGTCATGCTCTTCTGCTGCAGCTGACACGACAAGTAATGAGAAGGAGGCAGATGATATGGCTGCCAAATGACCTAATTTCCAACGATACACGGGATTTCATGCAGATACGCTTCTCTCTCGTGAGCTGGAAAGGCATCGGCACCTGAGCGGTAGTATTGGAAGAGCAGAGGGTGGGATTCTGAGCATAGAAGATTTTCTTTAGTCACTACCATCGTACTTCTGAGTAAAATAGACTGGCTCCTAACGGCGCCGTACGAATCTCGTCGTAATGGCGATAGCCATAATAATAGTGTAATAAAGGCGCCTACTTCAAAATCGCCTGCCAGCCCTTCCGGCCAACATACCCAGTCACGCCCTCATCCCTCAGCACCTCGCTACCCAGCCGTCCCGTAACCACACTTCGCTCGTGCTCGACGCCGCGAACGTAAAATGGGTAGGCCAGCCGTGGCACGGCAGCAGCATGATCTTCGTCCGTCCCCTTCTCCTTCTTAGCGTCTTCTCCTTCCTGAAGGGCATCTGTCGGCGCGACTGAATCGGAATCTGTATTTTCCCAAACAGCCCTACCTTCCCTCCGTCGCTTCACGAACCCACTCGTCTCACGGTCCAGGGATAGGTACCATCGCCGCTGATGCACGCTACCAATCGAGTTCGTCGCACCGGGGTACGCGTTGGTCCTGCGGACCTCCTCGTCCTCGAGCTCACGTAGTTCGCGGTCGGTCGCCGAAATCCCCTTTTCGCCTTCCTTCATCTGCTCGGCGGGTGCATGCACGATTTCTATGTCGTCTTCATCATTACCGGTTCCGATACCCTGCTGTTGCTTCCCAGCACCTCTGCGGGAGGAAGTAGAGGCATACCCCGGTTCCGAGTCCGAGCTCGTGGCATACTCAGACGCATTTCTACCTTTGGCAGACCTGGTCGTCTTTCTTGAGAGCGCGGAAGGCGCACCACGTCGCCTTCGCGTCTTGGGGATCCGGGTACTGCGTGCGCGGCCAACAACATCTTCCTCACGTGTTAGACGTAGATACAACACATATGGTGTCGGTAGGCGTGTGCCATGAAGTTGTAATCGGATCTTTCGTGCTTCAAACGAATGATGTAGCTTTTGCTGCTCTGTCCACTGCTGCTCGTTGCTTTCTTCATCTGTTGAGGATTGCGAGTCATCTCGTGACTGCTTGCGCTCTGTTGGTAAGATGGTGTAGGTTCCTGTATCCCAGATGAGGAGAGAGCCGGTGGCGTGAGAACCTGTCTCAATGAGATGATTCTATTGCTCGTTAGTATATTCGTCGGCGATGTGGTGAATAAGAAAACTACCACTTGCCCATAAACAGTGTATTCGCGTCTCGGTCGCATTTCGATTCAGCCGAAAGCTATTCGGATCCCCGGGGAGTCCGTACATGATGGCCCATGATGCACTGCTCATCTCATTGATTTGCAGCCGGAGGTCGTAATGCGTGCCTGCAATCGGGTGGTCATGCTGGTGAATAACAAAGTGCGCTCCCTGAGAGCTTCCGGCGTTGGCCTCATACAGCTTCCGATAACCTTCCACGGAGAGATGAGGGGTCTCTGAAGGGAACGGTGACAGAGTAGTCTCTTGTAGACGTGTACCAAAGTAGTTGAGATGGTCGTCTACGCTGGCTTGCCCGGCTTCAATGGCCGAGGTGGTCAGTTGCTCCCCGTCCTCTTTGTCTTGGTGTTGTCGGGGTTCTTTGTCATCGCCATCGGAGCTGCTTGAGCTCGCAGCATCATGGGGCAAGCCAGTGATATCAATGCTCCATTCTAGATTTCTCTTCTTGATGAAGGGGTTTGGGACTAGTTCTGGGCTGCGCGATCGTTTGGTGGCCATGATGAATAATCGCCAGTGGCTTGGTTTCCATAGGCGGCGGCCATGCGGTAGAATACCTGTATTGGTTGTTAAGAGTCCTATAAGCTAGAGCATTGCCAGTGTAGAAAATGATACGGTTCTATATGAGTTTGAAAGGAAAGAACTTACTTGACTGAATGGTAGAGAGGTCATAAAGATAGATGTCCGTTTGAGTGTTGCTGAGCAATACCGGTTTCAGATTACTTAATACCTAGGTAACTAACTACGGAAGACTAATTGAGGTACCGATAAGGAGGAGAAAAAACTAAACTACGATGGCAACAAAATATACACCTTCAATCGACATCGTACGATTTCACTATAACATGACGTAGAGCCAAAAAGACTTGAATTTAAATTCTTAGTTTTAATAAAACTTAAACAGAAAGTTGATGAGAGTGGGACTCGAACCCACGCGGATTGCTCCACTGCGAGATTCAACAGAAAATTCAGGTGACCTGAACGCAGCGCCATAACCACTCGGCCATCTCACCCTACTCTCACCATAGAATTACTGTCAATCACCTCTGTTGGCCATGTATATATCATTGTGAATTCGCGGAGAACATCATGGATATTTCTAATTTATGAATTTCACAGCCGCCATGTTTTTTATAACCGGGTTACGACTACTTTGACCATGCATGAAACGTATTCATTCGAAAGTGTCTTAGAGAAGTAACCAACACTGCTTTATCAAGGTGACCCGTTACGCCTTCAAGACCCCGACTAACTTACCGCAAAGACGGTGCTGAAGAAACAGACGTCGGTCTCTTGAGCCGTCGCCTCAAGAGCCTTTACGTCATTTCGCAGAAGTATAGAACAATCTATAATTCTTGAATGGATCTTTAAGAACTAATCTAACCCTCCGGAGTTGGGATTTAATGATAGTTTATATACTCAATATAGATCTAGACAGGGTCCTCCTACTTGCTATGCCTCACAAGCAGAAATAGTGATCATCCTTGGTGTTGACAAGGGCAATGGTTCTGACACGGCCAGGGTGCAACCGACGGTGAACACGAGTTTGAATGTTTGTGTTGCGATATCCGAAATAAAGGCGACGTTTGGGTTGACCTGACCTAGGTATTGAGGTCTACCGAGGCGAGCCACCGAGTTAATAAGATCATCAGCATCACAAACCATGTTGTACCTGGTAGGAGGCGAAACAGCCATATGCGGCGATGCGACAGAATGTCTTGGTATATTTTGCCATACTTGACACGCCATCGGTATGGTGAAAGACCTCCCGGGGCAGACGCTCCTGTAGATATTCAGGTGCCAAATTTAGAGTTGAGACCAATTTGCACTGATGAGATTATAGGAGCGAAGCTGCCACCATCACGAGTGTCCCAAAGTCACCCACGGACGCAAGCCAATCCTCCCACGTCGCTACTTCTGAATCTATTCCCGAAGATCTCTGGTGAAGTTTAATCAGGTCTCCGTTGTCCGAGACACCGTATATCGTACGGACTTGGAAGTGTAACTCATAATCAGCCCTCCAGGCATTCTCGCTTGTTGCTCTCCACTGAGTCATGCTTCCGGGGAGCGGAATCAGAGCGAAGCCGGGAAGCCCCGTGCACGAGCCGAATGAGGCTGTGTCCACGAGCATGTCCAAGAGTTTGAAGACGAGGCAGGTTCTATCTGGGGCATTAGGTTCATCACCACACTTCGCCTTTCGACAATAAGGCAGGAGGGGACGGGGAGGCTTACCGCCGTACTGATTCATTGAACATCCACTCCCGCCAGTCCAGATCGAGCCCATCGGACGCTATCATATTAGGATCTTCAACCATGCGATGAGTCCCTTCACAATTCGCGATGGCCTGCGTTACTTGCTCCATATCGGTCAGTAAGGTCTGAGATGCAAGACTAAGGCTGAGAACCAACCATGCAAGTGACTACCAGAGGAACATCAAAGTCATTGTCCGGTGTCTCTTGATCTATAGCTCGCAGCAAGCAATACACTAACAGAGCTTGCAAGGTCGCGAGAAGACCCCACCTATCCAGATTCACATACTACAATATGAGTTAGATTATCGATATTGACTATAGAAGCAACCCACAAACCTGCTCAAGAAGTCTCTCCTGCTCCAGTCTGATTAATCGCCAAATGAAGCCCCGGTTCATCGGCGTCCGTGCGTGAAACATTTGTACCAGGCTAGCACAATTCACTAGAGCTTCCAAGGGGTTGTTGCTCTGTTTCTCTGCCCAGTCGTAAGTCTGGGGGGATATGAAAGGCGGTAAAGTCTCTCGGCGCAGAAGCATGAAAGCATAAGAGCCGAGCATGCGTCTGAATAGCGACGCGGCATGGGCCTTGTGGGGTTCAGCCCGCACCCGGTTCTGAAATAATCTTAGTGAAAAGTTGACCGGGATAAAATCCAGGGCATTATATTGAGAGTTGACCTCAAGATCTATATTGACTTGTGGATTTAGAGGTTTTGGCTGGGTAGACTGCACATCGGGGCCAAAATGAGCCAGGAGCTGAGGATCTAATGTCCATTCGTCAGTTTGCGAGGCTTGAAGGTCGGTAATCATAGGCCGATTTCCGTTTCTCGAATTGCCGGACGTGTGTTCACTACTTTGGGCCGTAGCTACAGGGCTCAAGAACCCCCCTTGGTCGCCATGCATCGGGCTACCGAAAGATGGAAGCCCTTGCCCGGATGTGTTCCGGGGGTGTTCATGGTCCATCGGCTCATCCTGTACAACTCCGGCCTTATACTCGCAAGCGATCCCCCGTACCCGGCATCTAGAACACTCTGGCGCTACTGAATCACACCTTGTCTTGGCCTTGCTGCATGGTATACAGGACCGTTGACGAGAGAATTTTGGGCCGACGGTTTTCAAACGGCAATAATAGTAATGCCGCCGCTGGGAAGACTCTGCCTAGGATCAGTAACGATTATCAAAACTTACTCTAAGGGAAACTTGACTTACCTTTTTCAAACTGCTTGTTGCAAAAGGGGCAACAATTTGTCACCCTATTTTGATCCGGCATTGTATCATTCGTGGTTAGTTGAATTCTGCCCGTTCTCGTGTTGAAGGCGCATCAGTGGTGACATCGGTTGAGCCGACGGTAGTATGGGCCAAACAATCCGAATGCCATGGAGTTCTCAAGGGAAGAAACCATGTTGATCATGTTCACGGAATTCCGTGAATAGCCCGGTATACTATTAGTAAGCGTGTATTTATCACCAATCAAGTCTACACTAATGTGGATTAGGGCAATGCGACGACGTCAAGTCTTCCCGGTATAGGTTTGCAGCAGCGAATGAGAGCAAAATTGAGATGCTTTCGGAGATGGTTTGTAATGTACGGCACGTAGTTTGATAAAGTCCACACGTTTTAACGAGCAATTGCCACAATCCGACCCGGCTCGTGTGTCGTGCCCCGGTTCTTTCGGCAATGATTGAAAAGGGTGAAACAAGAGTGTCGAACATACTCAAGCTCTAGCTGCAGGTAGTCTATGGAGAGAGATTCAGTAGGTGGGATATATAGGGTACGTATGGGAACCGACCTGGATGCCCTAGAGCCCTCGAGGGCGTGTAAGCTCCTTATCTATGTATATATGGCTAGTTTCCATTTAACAGGAGTGGACAACCAATCTATTGTTTTCAATAACCTGCCACCAAGGCATCTTGACTGAATCCGTACACGATGACTGTCGACAATCTCTCACTGGCAGGCAAGGTTGCTCTAGTCACAGGCTCTGGACGAGAGAACGGTATCGGCGCAGGCATTGCAAAGGCATTAGCTCGGAATGGTGCCTCTGTAGCTATCCACTACGTTTCAGAGAGCTCCAAGGCAAGCGCCGAGAAAGTGGCGAGAGACATCGCTCAAGAGACAGGCTCGAAGACCACCGTCGTCCGAGGCGCTCTCGGCAAGCCGGACACGGCGAAGAGGATCGTCCAGGAGCTTCTAGCGGCGTTCAATACCGACCACATCGATATCCTCGGTAAGTTGATCTTAAGTCTGTGTGATCGTTTGAAAGTTAATTCTAACAATCCTGCTGTGTGAAGTCAACAATGCGGCTGTCATTACTCGTGTCCCTCTGCTTGAAGTCAAGGAGGAACACCTGATGGATGAATACACCACCAATGTATTTGGCCCTATATACCTGACCCAGGCCGTTGTAGGCGTGGGCAAAATGCCACCTGGAGGTCGTATCATCAACATTGGAAGCATAGCCTCGCAGATGGGTATGTCGATTGGCGCCACCTACTCTGCTAGTAAGGCCGCACAAGACAGTTTGACAATGTCATGGGCCTCTGATGTTAGTGATTTCCCCTGGGCGCTCTAGTCTTTCCTTGCTAGGAAGCTGAACACTGATGATTTCTGTCATAGCTTGGCCACTCTCACGGTATTACGGTCAACACGATTGCTCCCGGACATGTGTTGACCGATATGACGAAGGATGTCCTGGCAGGAGACGATCGTCTTGCAACCCACAGCGACAAGGCAATATTTGCACAGACTCGAGCAGCTCCGCGCATTGGGACTATTGAAGATATCGCGGACGTCGTGCTCCTGGTTGCATCAGAGAAAAGCCGATGGCTTACCGCACAGTGGATCTCTGCCAGTGGTGGCCTAACTGGGGTTATGTGAAGACACTGTCGAAAAATATGTTGCTCGTTGACCGTAGCAAAAGAAAAAAAAAGAGAGAAATCATGGGTAGAGGGGGTTTCCAGGTCTATTGAATAATACAATACAAACAGTCGGATAAATGGTTTTTTTGTTCTACCATCGCTATGCCACTTCATAACAACAAGGTATTTGACCATATCATACATATCCTCTGACGCCGACTCCGTACAGGTGACACAGCCGACATCATTGTCAGCGCTGAGCCTGCAATCGACGACACGGTGGTTGACTCCGGCCTAACCTAGATTTCCGACCTCTGCATGGACGAGTAAAGATGAATGCTCGGATGAAAGTTGGGATATCTACTTCCACACAACATATAAGATAGTCACAAGGCGGACCATGAGGCAGGGTTGTAATCGCTAATTATTCCTTTCTTTAATAGCGTCGTCGCTATTCTAGATTGATTGAGCCGCCGGCCCCGGGCCATGCTTGTGGCCAGTCATTGATCAGAAATGAAGAAACGTATGTAGTAAGCCTATAGTATTCTAGGAAAAGAGTAAAAAAGGGGTTAGCTTAAGTAGAAGCCGTATTATTCGACCGAAGAAGTATAATACTCTCGAGCACGTTTGACTGTTCTGTTTCGTTTAATGTGGGCATATTACTAGTTTTTTAGATTAGCTCTATCGGTTCGCGGGTTCTCGAATCTGCTGTTGTGAATTTTTATTATTTCTGTTATTACTAGAAGTAGGGCTATTGCGCCATATACATCTTCGTTTTGGCCTAGGCGCTGACTTGGCTCAAGCCACTTGCCAATTTGGTTATTTTGCTTCGCGAAGGCTTCCTTATGGGAAGGCTCCTCCTTCCCCAATGCCTATCATCTGCCCCTTCATCAAATGATGACGACCCC